GGGTGAAGCTACATGCCTGGGTTATAATTATTTAAAAAATTCTAAAATTATAGCAGTAAATAAAGAACAAACTAAAACACAGAACACAGGGGAACACCAGACAAGGAATAATCAGGAACAGCTAATCACCTTTCAACAAACGTTTACCCCAGGCAGTAACAAGTCACACCTTAAAACTGTCAGGCCATCAAATGCTAATCAAGGTGACAGGCATCCATGTGCATAATGAAGACTTTCACTACTAAATTAAAAGTGAGTACAGGTTTTTTATTCCTATTGTCTCCTATTCCCTCCTATTTTATTCCATACACAACTATAAGAAGAACAACATTTGAAGTTAGTATCTATTGAAAAAGCTACAAGTGATGGCATAGAATTATTAGAAAGTAATTGCTTGTTTCAATGAGAGTAAATTCAATGGATTTACTCTCATTGAAATAAGAAATTGGATCTAGGCCCTGTTGTGCACTCAATACAAAGATGATGAGATTGGAATATAATAAGTACTTGTTCAAATTTTGTAATCCACTTCTAATTTTGAAAGGCATATGTACAGGAGTTGATTATAAATTGTATGATTTTCACTGTATTTGTGTTTAGATTGGCTGCAGTATTGCTGGAGCGGCCTAGGTCAGAGGAGTCCTCCATGTGCGTTGCCATGGAGACCGATGCAGGAGAGAGGGAAGTGGGAGGAGCTTAGAGGGGAGAGTTTGAAAAAACGACAGTTAAAAATCAGTTAGGGTTTAGGTTTAGAGGAGTGAGCAGTCAGGAGTTAGGTTCAGAGGAGTGAGGAGTTAGGAGTTGGGAGAGAAGGAAAGGAAAGGTGGCGGAGTGACTTGTGAAGCAAAGCTTTGAGGCTTTGAAAAGCTGGGTTTGGCTATTGGAAGTTTCTCAGGCTAGTGCAGCTGAATGGTGAAACAGAACTGGTATTCTTTTAGTCTAAGGAGAGGCTAAAGAATAGTTTACTTAGTATTTGATCTAGGGAGGATCAAATAAGGGAAACATCCCTGTAATGAAACTTTGTCTGAAACAAGTGTTCTATGTCAGAAAGATACTGTGTTACTTGAAAGAATGAACTGTTAAAGTTACAAGTATTATTCCAAATACAACAAGGAAAAGTTACGTCTTGCAACCACACGCTGTGTACTTAATAAAATTGTTAACTTTTATTTGAAGATTGCCTCAGCTCCGTCTATTCTGTGTCCAAAGTGCCATTTCTCACAATATTACAACTTACCTCACGTGGTGGCAGAAACGGAGGGAAAAGTAACCAAATAAATCTACATTCTTCTCTTCAGTCACGCTACAGTATATACAGTGTAATTACTACTAAGTTATTACTTTCTTTATAAAGGAGGAGGTGCAATTAAACAGCCTCCCTTC